ATGCATATACCTTAGAATCACCAACTATCCACATTCATGTATGTACATCATACTATGTATACATAAGCGATAGTTCACAGCTGGGCTGGTGGTGGCGCTGACAATGATTAGCGCTCTGAAGGTTGCGGTTGGCAGCAAACTTTTGACCATCGCGGCCAACGCTGTATAAATCATGAGTGTAACATGATATGTACATGTATTTTGTACAGCAATATAAATAGAGAATATAGAACATGGCCGCTGCTGAGCACGCACGCTCTCGTCAGGTTCTTCGGTACAGTGAGAGAGTATTTTGTATTCCAATTTAATATAAGTTATTATTGTCAAATAAACCTTATATTTATGAGTGTACATTTGTTTATCCACTACCTTAAAGTGAATATATTTTACAGTTATCATTTACAAGGAGTGAAAAAGATGCTCGATTTATCTGCAAATACCTATCTAGGGCTGTGCATGCTGGCTCTTGGTGCATGTTGTGCTGCAAACCACATTCTCTATGTACGGTTTTTAGTTTTATGGTATAACGTTACATTAAATATGCAAATAACATAAACGGCTTCCTTCAGATTACCGTTATCGTTGGGAAAGTTATTTTGACAGCCAAATGTGGAGTATAAAAAAATAAATAATGGTTTAAACGACTTAATTTTTTGCTGCTCAAGCCCCTAGTAACTAATTCTTGTAAATGAGATAAGCCGATTTACTTATGTCCTATAAACGTATAAGCACTCTGGAATACTTTAAAGTTACTGAAGTGTATTATGTAGGATAAAGAAAAATAAAGGGATACGAGGGGGTAAACGATATCTATTTAGCTGAAACTAGACACAAGCTGAATTAGCCTCACCCAAGACGAATCGGGCCTAACATGCGCTGGGCCATACAAATTTTTTTTTGCTTTTTCCTTGTTGAAAAACTATATATATTGTTGCAATTCTCCCACACACAACTTTCTATATATTTTTCAAGCCGTGATAGGCTGCCAGGCTTGAAAAATACTAAGTTTTCTGGAAGTATGTAAATACATAAAACAATAGAAAAAAAATTAATAACTTTTTTTCAACCTCTTGTGCCAAGATGCAAATGAATAGAATTCGTTTACATTATCCCCAGACACAATCCTCATGGATCTTGCAAACCACAAAAGGCCGCCAGGCTTGGGGAATAAAAAATTTTCCATAGATACGTGTGTATGCCTATACAAAACTATACGGAACAGAACTACAACTTTTTTTAAGGCCTTTCAAAACAAAAAGATACGTTTATATTATTTTTAAATACTTTTCCTATGAGTTTTTTTTCACTATTTTTATTGTAAACGCGTCTAAGCATTCTTACGGAAAACTTAGCATTTTTTAAGTTTGGCGGCCTTACATGGCTTGAAAAACTTAAAGAAAGTTGTGTGAGGAAGGATCACAATGATATATATTGTTTTTCAGCTCGAATGAGTGAACAAAAAAATTTTAACCCCCACGGCTCTTTTAGGCCCATGTCATCCTTGATGAGGCTAGTTTTAGCTACATGGATTTCTGTCAAGCTATCGATCTGTTACGTGAGTCCTAACTCGATGTCAACATATACAAATTTTCATAAATAACACGACTAACACAAGCATACTTTTCTATCACATTATCACCCGATAGTTACTTTATCAAATTTATTGGAATTTTTTTATGTGAAACATCTTATGGCGGACAGTAAACAGCCACGTAAAGAAAAATATGCAACGAAAAGTCTGGTTCGCTTCTCCGTTGCTGTTCACCTTACCACTGGGCACTTCTATTTATATACTTGTACACGAGTTGGAAGTTGTAAATCTATATCTACGTATATACGGTATACTATATTGTCGTGTGTATATAGCTTTTTTTCATTAATAACCCGATCAGGAATCTAATGGATTAGCCACCTTAGTTAGTGGGGTCCCCACTGGGCTATCTAGTTAGTACCTCCTCAGTTAAAGATTTATAGCTATCAATATGCCTATAATTTATTGCTATAATTATAGCTATAACTACCTATAAAACAGCTATAACTACCTATAAAACAGCTATGATAATGTATAAAATTCAGCTAAAAATATAGCTATAAACTACAGCTGTAAATTTTTCACAAATAATGAATAAAAATTAGTTTAAAATCAGATTTTTCCAACTTACATCGATTATTACAGATGGTATCATCCGTATGATAACAGTAAAACTTGGGGCCTGAAGTATTTTTGAATAAGTAGAAAAAAAAACAAGAAATCATATACAATTTCAAGTTTTTAAAAAACTGTTTAAAAATACTTTAGGCCCTCAGTTTTACTGTTATCACACGGATGATACCGTCTATGCTGATCGATATATGTTGAAAAAATCTGATTTTTAACTAATTTTTATTCAAAATTTGTGAAAAGATTACAGCTGTNAAAAAATACATTTGAAAGTTCAAAAATATTTTCTTGAACCTGATCAGAATGATAACTAAAAAAACATAAAAACTTTCATACTGTCTAAATGTAATGAGAAAAATCCATGGATCAATTGTCTGTATTCACAAAAAAAGTACAACGAAATATATGACGATATTGAAACTTTCTGTATTATTGTGTATGTTTATTTATATTATAATAACCAAAGCTGTTAAGTGGGTCCAAAGTAATAGTAAAAAGAGAGTTCTTTTGACCTTCATAAAAAGTATACAGTAATATCTTCAGAGTTACGTATGTTAAGTACGTCAATGCGGATATTGAAAATATTAATACTATATAATATAGGCACTGGCTGCCGTAATCAGATCTAGAAACCCATGCATTAAAGAAACTACGAATTAAACAGAAAGGCCAGGTAGCTTCGAATAGTTTAATTTTGCTGTCTGCCGACATATGCGAGCATTATTACTGCCTGCCTTAATGCGTTTAAAAGAACAAAACTTAAATTATTTACTTACAAAAATGCCAGCTTAGTCAAAAGCTATCTGGCCAGTTTTTTGGCCCACACACCACTATACTCTTGAGAGCCAGTTATCTCTCAGTGGTTTAATTTGTGCTTCCTGGCCCAAAAATTAAAGATTACTAACTCATCAAATATAACAGCTTCGTCAAAAAATAGCTGGCCAGTTTAGAGGCCCATGAACCACTTTACTCATGTTATTCACTTAGCTCTCAGTGGTTTAGTTTGTGCTTCATGGCCCAAAAATTAAAAATTACTTACCCACCAAACAATTTAACTAAGTCAAAGGCTGGATAGCCAATTATCAGCCCCATACACTACTAAACTCTTGAGAGTTATTTTGATCTTAGTGGCTCAGTTTGTGCTTCCTGGCCCAAAAATTAAAAATGACTTACCCACCAAATAATTAAACTAAGTGAAAGGCTAGTTAGCCAGTTAGCAGTCCCATACACCACTAAACTCTTGAGAGCCAGTTATCTCTTAGTGGTTTAGTTTGGGCTTCTTGGCCGATAAATTTACAATTATACTTATCAAATATGCCAGCTTGGTCAAAAGCTAGTCAGTCAGTTTTGAGTTCCATACACTACTACTCTTGAGAGCTAGTAAGCTCTTAGTGGTTTTTTTCGTGATTCTTGGCCACTAAATATAAAACTATCTACTCATGAAAAATTCTCGCTTAGTCGAAAGCTAGATGTCCAGTTTTTTGGCACATACATCACTACATTTTTGTGAGCCAGTTATCTAAACTGACAAAATTATCTACTCTTAAAATATACCAGCTCAGTCAAAAGCTAGTGAGCCAGTATTTAGTCTCATACACCACTACTCTTGAGAGCTAGTGAGCTCTTAGTGGTTTTATTTACGCTTTTAAGCCACTGACCTTGTAATTATACTTACCAAATATACTAGCTAACTCAATGGCTAGTTGATGAGTTTTCAGGCCCACATACTTTAGTACTTATGAGAGTCAGGTAGCTCTTAACGGTCTGTACTACGCTGCGATGCTACTAAACTACAACAACTTGACTTATAGTACAAGCTTGATCACTGACTGAGTGGTGTGTTTTGTGTGGTCCATATGTAAGGGATAGTAGGGCATGACGGGCACCCATTATTCATTACACTCTTACAATTTTTTTCCACCTTAAATATAATTTTCCAGCTGATCATCTTTAAGAACGTGACACATAGAATAAAACTACCCGAAATAAAAAATATCACAAGTTACATTACAATCTATATATTAAGTTATTTTAATACCACAAACATCTTGCCTTAATCTCATAAATTTTGTGTTTAGTACAAATAATTGTATGCCAATATCACAGCAATGTTGCACTCTAACATTATAAAAATAAAGCTTAATTAAAATGAAATATATACGTAAAGTCTCTTCAGTCTTGCCAGTTCAAGATTGTAGGAAAAAAGAACTAAAATTTATAGGATTCATAGCAACTGAATTTACCAAAGAATCACTTCGTGTGATATTTTGAATATTCGAATTAAATTGCATTAATGGTTCTCTCTGTATAATATTGCAAGGCTTCGACATAGCTACAGGATTAACGTTGGCGATTCTTTTATTCTTTGGCTCCTTTTTAATTTTAGTTTTTGGAACTGCCTTCTTTGGATCCTTTTTAATTTTTTTGTCTTGACTAGTACGTAATTCTGCAATGTATTCATCACTGGTAACAACAGCAGCTGTACCCCGTTTTCTCCGTTTAACAGGAGGCTTGGGAATCGTATCACTTTTATTTGCTGGTGTGATGGAAACTGGATCATGCATTTGTGTTGCCTTTTGCTGTATTGAATAAACAAATCAATATTGAAATTAAGCTGACAAAATATATACGTATACTTACTAGAATTTCCATGATGCTTCGGGCTTGGGAAAGAGGTATTTGGATTGTAGGCTCAGAATCTGAAGCACTGTTTTGAGCTTGAGAAAAAAACGATGAAATAGATGCTGTGTGTTCAGACACTGAGGTTTCTGAAAGAGTACGACTCACATCGGAAGATACCAAGGGGCTTAAGCTTGAGTGTGATGCACTACCAACACCATTATTTATAGCTGTCACAGATGAACTCGATGTTCTGCGTAATATTATCAAGTGTCTCTCTATAGAATGAGCGGTTGACAGATTCTGTTAAAACAAAAGTTATCATTTATCATAATGCAATTATTTGTCAATAAAAATAATTTTTTTACACTTTTTAAAATATTTACCTGAATCTGTATCTGTTGTGGAAGAGGATGCCACCTCCTCTTTGGCAAAATAAGGATCAAAGACTGATGCATTTAAAGGATATAGACCAGTTGTTTTAAATGCATTCACAGCTGTGTCCATTTTTGCTGCTCTCTGCCACGCTTTGCCAAATAGACTGAAAACATCTTTCATCTGAACATTAGTACCAGTGCGCTGAAATTTATTTACCTCTTCTAAGTAGTAAGTATCCACTGGCTTCATAAAGCCAACGTCGAGAGGCTGCATGCGATGAGTGCAATGCGGAGGAAAGCATAAAATCACAACACCATGTTTTTTGCCCAATTCAGCCACTTTCAAATTTTTAACATGGGTACAATGGCCATCCAATAATAAAAGCACCGGATTATGTAATGATGCTCTTGAGAACTTGACAAACGCAAGAAACCAATCTGTAAATGTATCAGTCTCCATCCAGCCACTTTTTCTGAAAACAGCCCAAGAACCCTCTGGCTTCCCTTGCAAATATGATTCGTTTGTCTTGACGCGAGGAAAAATTAGCATGGGTGGCATATAATTTCCTCTTGCTGAAAAGCACAGCTCAACGCTAATCGTCTCTCCTCTCTCTGCAGCTATTTTTCCAGCTACTTGTCGCCTTCCTTTTGCAGCAATAACTCTTGATCCTGATTTAGGTACGACAGATATGCCTATCTCATCAACATTATAAATGTTGGAAGACTGAAAGTTATATTTTTTCTGTACTTCAAGCAGGAGCTGAAAGAACTTGTCAACACTCTGACGATTAAATCCATCTGCACGAGCAGCTGACGTAGGCTCAGCCTTTCGATTGGAAAGGTCATGGCGTTGCATAAAACTTTGCAGCCAGTCTCTTCCAGCAAGACCTGTAAAAAATGTGATGAACAATATGCCCAGACAAACAATGCAGTATAAATTTAGAGTAATACTTACCAGTTTCATTGTTGAAAGAGTGTAAAACACCCAACTGTACGGCAAAGTCATAGGCCAACTTCCTGAGATCTGTAGTTGACAGTCCCATGAGTCTTTTCTCCAAATCAATCACGTAGTCATAGAGGGAATTTTCTTGTTCCAATGAAAATACCTTTTGGAAACCTGGATGAAATTTTTATTGTTAGGTAAGTTTTTCATACAAATAAATCATACACAGCTTTTTTTATTATATTGCAATTGCTTACCAGCATTAATTGAGTTCGGATTAGCGATTTTTCTTTGCAGTGTCGCGCGAGGAATACCGTATTGACTGGCACTGCCTTTGATGGTTTTTCCACTTTTCACCGATTCAATAGCCATTGATAAATCGGTCCCAGACCACTTTTTTCTATCCGTCTTCTTTTTGTATCGTCGCACCATTCTTATTTTTAGTCACGATCCACATTTAAACTTACTTATAAAATAAGACAGACTAGAGAAATTTAAAGCTAAGACTAAGGTTATGTTAATCAGCCTTGTTTTGATTCGAACAGAATGACAGCGTCTGCTGCAGACGCAGAGTTCTCAGGCTCATTGTGCCTCAAGCGCGGTGCCCATCATGTCCCCTAGAAGCCATGTTTTGAAATAAGTATAACTTTTTAATGGTAGAAGATAAAAATTTTTTTTCAACGGATCTTGAAAGTAAATCAAACAGACTATTGGAGAAACTTCACGAGATAATTACTGGAGATAATTTTTATCGTAAAAAGAAGCCGTGAAGCTATCATTGTCCGAAGGGTTATTTATTAAAATATTTTTATAAATTTTTACAAATTATTTAATTACTTTTTATCATGATACTCTTTGAGGAAAATAGTGTTGATATTTTACAATGTAAAAAAATTTATTTGAGAGAAAAACATTAATTTTTTCATTGAGTACATGAGGTGCCCGAGTTACCTTACAAACTCACGCTGCCCCACTATCCCTTATGTGCAAAAAGCACCTCTTAAGACACCCAGTTACATGTCAGTGGTTCTGTTTTTTTCCTTATTAAATATACAACCTTAGTCTGGCACCAGCTAGCTACAATATGTTCTTAGGCCCATATACTATTACTCTTGAGAGCTGAGTAAGAGCTCTTAGTAGTTTGGCATGTACTTCCTGGCAATTAAACTTGTCATTACTGTCACTAAATTTGTCAGCTCGGATATTAACTGAGAAGTAATAATTTTTCAGTCCATGTATTATGAAGAAAAAAACTAAACCAAGGAGCCACTTAGCGCTCAGTGGTTTAGTTTAATCATCTTGGCCCTGAACTTGACACTTCACGTTATTTGTGACAATGTGCATAGTGTCTGACAGTGCATGCATGCATATACCTTAGAATCACCAACTATCCACATTCATGTATGTACATCATACTATGTATACATAAGCGATAGTTCACAGCTGGGCTGGTGGTGGCGCTGACAATGATTAGCGCTCTGAAGGTTGCGGTTGGCAGCAAACTTTTGACCATCGCGGCCAACGCTGTATAAATCATGAGTGTAACATGATATGTACATGTATTTTGTACAGCAATATAAATAGAGAATATAGAACATGGCCGCTGCTGAGCACGCACGCTCTCGTCAGGTTCTTCGGTACAGTGAGAGAGTATTTTGTATTCCAATTTAATATAAGTTATTATTGTCAAATAAACCTTATATTTATGAGTGTACATTTGTTTATCCACTACCTTAAAGTGAATATATTTTACAGTTATCATTTACAAGGAGTGAAAAAGATGCTCGATTTATCTGCAAATACCTATCTAGGGCTGTGCATGCTGGCTCTTGGTGCATGTTGTGCTGCAAACCACATTCTCTATGTACGGTTTTTAGTTTTATGGTATAACGTTACATTAAATATGCAAATAACATAAACGGCTTCCTTCAGATTACCGTTATCGTTGGGAAAGTTATTTTGACAGCCAAATGTGGAGTATAAAAAAATAAATAATGGTTTAAACGACTTAATTTTTTGCTGCTCAAGCCCCTAGTAACTAATTCTTGTAAATGAGATAAGCCGATTTACTTATGTCCTATAAACGTATAAGCACTCTGGAATACTTTAAAGTTACTGAAGTGTATTATGTAGGATAAAGAAAAATAAAGGGATACGAGGGGGTAAACGATATCTATTTAGCTGAAACTAGACACAAGCTGAATTAGCCTCACCCAAGACGAATCGGGCCTAACATGCGCTGGGCCATACAAATTTTTTTTTGCTTTTTCCTTGTTGAAAAACTATATATATTGTTGCAATTCTCCCACACACAACTTTCTATATATTTTTCAAGCCGTGATAGGCTGCCAGGCTTGAAAAATACTAAGTTTTCTGGAAGTATGTAAATACATAAAACAATAGAAAAAAAATTAATAACTTTTTTTCAACCTCTTGTGCCAAGATGCAAATGAATAGAATTCGTTTACATTATCCCCAGACACAATCCTCATGGATCTTGCAAACCACAAAAGGCCGCCAGGCTTGGGGAATAAAAAATTTTCCATAGATACGTGTGTATGCCTATACAAAACTATACGGAACAGAACTACAACTTTTTTTAAGGCCTTTCAAAACAAAAAGATACGTTTATATTATTTTTAAATACTTTTCCTATGAGTTTTTTTTCACTATTTTTATTGTAAACGCGTCTAAGCATTCTTACGGAAAACTTAGCATTTTTTAAGTTTGGCGGCCTTACATGGCTTGAAAAACTTAAAGAAAGTTGTGTGAGGAAGGATCACAATGATATATATTGTTTTTCAGCTCGAATGAGTGAACAAAAAAATTTTAACCCCCACGGCTCTTTTAGGCCCATGTCATCCTTGATGAGGCTAGTTTTAGCTACATGGATTTCTGTCAAGCTATCGATCTGTTACGTGAGTCCTAACTCGATGTCAACATATACAAATTTTCATAAATAACACGACTAACACAAGCATACTTTTCTATCACATTATCACCCGATAGTTACTTTATCAAATTTATTGGAATTTTTTTATGTGAAACATCTTATGGCGGACAGTAAACAGCCACGTAAAGAAAAATATGCAACGAAAAGTCTGGTTCGCTTCTCCGTTGCTGTTCACCTTACCACTGGGCACTTCTATTTATATACTTGTACACGAGTTGGAAGTTGTAAATCTATATCTACGTATATACGGTATACTATATTGTCGTGTGTATATAGCTTTTTTTCATTAATAACCCGATCAGGAATCTAATGGATTAGCCACCTTAGTTAGTGGGGTCCCCACTGGGCTATCTAGTTAGTACCTCCTCAGTTAAAGATTTATAGCTATCAATATGCCTATAATTTATTGCTATAATTATAGCTATAACTACCTATAAAACAGCTATAACTACCTATAAAACAGCTATGATAATGTATAAAATTCAGCTAAAAATATAGCTATAAACTACAGCTGTAAATTTTTCACAAATAATGAATAAAAATTAGTTTAAAATCAGATTTTTCCAACTTACATCGATTATTACAGATGGTATCATCCGTATGATAACAGTAAAACTTGGGGCCTGAAGTATTTTTGAATAAGTAGAAAAAAAAACAAGAAATCATATACAATTTCAAGTTTTTAAAAAACTGTTTAAAAATACTTTAGGCCCTCAGTTTTACTGTTATCACACGGATGATACCGTCTATGCTGAGCGATATATGTTGAAAAAATCTGATTTTTAACTAATTTTTATTCAAAATTTGTGAAAAGATTACAGCTGTAATTTATAGCTATATTTATAGCTGAATTTTATACATTATTATAGCTGTTTTATAGGTAGTTATAGCTATAATTATAGCTATAATTTATAGGTATAATTATAGCTATATATTTTTAACTGAGTCACCAGGCGTGTCACAGGGCCAATTAGAGGTCCATCGTAGGTTACTCGAGTAAACTAGCTAAAGCTGTTGAAAACATAATATATTTCTGTGTTTGGACTATATGTATGTGACCATATTTTAATTATTCCTTATCTGCACGGTTGATAAACTCTACGACACTGCTTAGCACATATGGTAAAAAAGACATGTGTCTTATGATAATTGTATTAAATGTAATTATCTACCTACACAAAAAATACAAAGGGTTAGGTTAACTTTCTTAGCTATCGGAGCATACTAGATATGACCCCATTTGCGCCCCTTAATGATGCCCTGCTAGGACCCCCTATGGTTCACTCGGCAGTCCAGGGAAGACGTTTTTAACACACCACTAAGCTTTCTGATCGAAAAAGTGTACTAATCTATTATATATATATATATATATATACAGCTACACAGAAGTATATAATATAATAAGAATATACGTGAACATGTATTATATATATTGAAAAATAATTCAAATTTAACTGACTCCAAGAGTCGAACCCCCAACCCTACGGATTGGTAGTTGGTGACCTTATCGATTGTGCTACGCAGCACGCCAACCTGATCTCTGTTTTTATTACTTATGGATACCAACCAAGAAACTTATGAATTAGAAAATTGATCGATAATTGGGTGTTTTTTTATATTATATGGAATTCAAATGTAATTTAGCCGGCTGATTGCGAATGAAAATGTTATAGCTATTTGTAAGTGGTCGAATAATATTAAAATCGTGTTTTGAAGTTCGTTTTGCTTACATCTTACAACGGTTTGAGATACAGAAAATATAAAAATACCAGCGTACAGGGCAAAAACTTTTCTGCCAATAAGGACTTTTACTTTTGTTCCGACAAGCACAAAATGTTGAGAAAAAAATGAAAAAGGCATTTTGGTAGTACCTGTAAAAGTAAGTGAGATAGAGAAAGCCATTGATCGTCCGATGACGCGCTCTCTCTATTGTACTCATACAGGCAGGCCTTTTTCATTGCTTTTCCCAATATTTTGCGCTTGTAGAAAATGATGAATTAATATTAGAATTAGTATTATTATTTTTTTTATTTTTTGAAAATTGCTTCTTTTTGAACATGATTCTTTTAAAATATAAAAATTTGACCATAATTCAAAATTTTTTCGGGGTATTCTAATCATGTTAACTTAAACTTCATACCAATCCGCCTTAAGTGAAGAGATAACGAAGCTCGCGCACGAGCGTAACTATGCACAGATATTCGAAAAGTGACAGAAAGAAAGAGAAAATAATACACACGAACGTACTGTTAAACATATGTATGTACTTATGTGTAGGTAGGTAGTATAGATACTCTTCACCCAGCATTGTTGTTCTTTCTCGTTCCTGTTGTATACTTATTAATGAATAAAATAAATATACACATACTTTAATATTTGCGTATTCCAAATCTATATTATGCACTGAAAAAAATACATACTCATATATAAACTGTCTATTTATTATAAAAATATGATATGAAGATTATTTAGGATGGAA